CCCCCCCCCCCCCCCACAAAAAAACAGAACCCCCCCCCCCCTATTTCCAGGGTTCGTAGGCCCTGCTGGGCCTTCTTCAGCTGGGAGACCTTGTAGTCGGATCCCAACCTCGCCGGTGTTTCGGGATGCCGGCGACGAACGAGGTTCAGGGTGCCCCGTTGCCAAAACTCTCGCAAACATGTTTTTCGAAAGGCCCAGCAGAGATTGGTAGGATGAGGAACGAAGTTGTACAGTCCAGATGGTCTGAAAGAACTAATGAATGCAAACAATATGGGCCCCTCAACTTTGTTTAACAGGATTTTGGAGCACCGTGTTTTAGGACAAGCATAAGAAATCTGAAGGAGTAACGTCGTTGATTTTTGAGCTTCTACGACAATGGGGCCGCATGGAAGCAACATGGGAATTTCCTCGTTCTAGATGCAAACTGCCTAACAGTGACCCCTCATCGGCCATTAGTTTGCAAATGCTGGAGTTAGTCGTCTCTTCTCTCTCTGCATCTTCTTATCATCATCAATATTCATCGTGATGACTTGTGCCAATATGACGCCCAGTGAGAAGCGGCTCTTCGTACTTACAGTACGGAGCGAAAGTATCCAGGAAAGCAGGCCTGAAACCTGAAGCTAGAAGAGCTGCGAAAAGTAAAAAAAGGCGATGGCTAGCAAGCCATGAACCCAAATAGCCTGAACCCAAAACCTGAAACCCCAAGCCCTGAACCCCAAACCCTATGTCAACCCTAATTCTTGCTACGACCATGGACGAGAAGCCCTGAGCTTCCCAGCCCCCCCTTCTTATTCCTGCGAATTCACGTCGAAGAAAGAGACCAACACATGGCCCGGAAAGGAAAGACGAACCGTAGATGAAATCAGCAACTACACTTGTGCCAAATCAATCACGTCTTAATAACTACAGAATACTCTTCTGTATCCCCAAAACCCGCAATCAAATAACTGCTTGATCCCTGACAGCGATTCCCCCTTCTCACAAACTTCCCCCAAGCGGCTGTGAAAGTGTGACGCACTTCCCATTGTGCATCTCAATGGCTGTGAACAAAGCACGCACCTGGTGGGGGGCTTAGGTTTCAGGGTTTAGGGTGGGAGGGGTTTGGTGTTGAGGGGCTTAAGGTTTCGTAGAGCAGCCCCGGATCGCCAATACAGGCGGCCTTGGTCTCGCTTGAGTAGAAGGCATTTAGGCTGGTTATTCTACGGATTTCGGTAAGGGCTACCAATGGGGTTAGTATTGTACTTGGCTCTTAATCATCAGACTAGGTTTTTGGGTGTATTGTGTAGTAGAACTAACGTCCCTGCAACACCTTACATGCGCCAAGCGTGAAACTTCGCAGGGAGTCGCGACATTGAGGGCATGAAGCGATGATCCAAGACGGTCCATGCACAATCTGTTGCTCGTGCAGGCCATTGTAAGCCGTTCCAACCGATGCTGTCATTCACAATCGCTTATGCCTTATGCCATCTCCATATGGTGGAGTCTGTGGCATTGGGCTGCGGCTTCCCCCGATCCGATCTTGCCTGTGGCTACTCTGGTACCGCATGCCGTTTATGGTCGCTCTCTTCCGGTTGAGGGTGTTGGGTAGTTTAGAGTTTAGGGTCTGGGGCTTTGAGGGGGCTTTGGGTTTCGGGTTTAGATCCACAACCCATTCAGCCAAAAGTGCACCACGCAAGCGCAGACCGCAGAACTCTCTGACGGCTGCTTTCGGTGTTAATCGGTTGCTTGTTTGTCAAAACGAGGCTTTTATAGAGGGTAACGAACTTCGTTTCTGATACAAAACCACATACAACATCAGTAGAAAGCCTTATTCTCCCAAAAGGAACCTTAAAGCACCCTGTAAGTAAACCAAGACTGGGTTGTAGTTTCGGGGCCCTTTACAGTAACTATGAACAGATACCTCTACAGGAACCATAACCGGAAATTCAGTTTCCCAAAGTGCCAGCTAGATATACCCTAAACCCTAAACCCTAAACCCTAAACCCTAAGAGCCCGAAAAAGATCTCCGGGCCCCCAGCCATCTCGGAGTCTTTCTTCCGCTCGATCGCCAGGGCTTGGGCGATCAGGGGAGTCCAGAAGAGATCGGAGTAAAAGCCGTGCTTCCCTGGCGATTCTTCGAGGCTCCGTAGCTTGGCCAAGGGCTTAAGAAACCCTACACCCGAAACCCCATATAAACCCTAAACCCTAAACCCCAAACCCCACCCCCCCCATGTAAACCCTAAGCCCTACACCCCAAACCCCATATAAACCCTAAACCCTACACCGTAAACCCCAAACCCTCTATAAACCCTAAACTCTAAACTGCGGGTGCTTTTTTAACTTGCAACGGGTCGGGGATCCGGATACTCCTTGTGGCTCTGGTCAGGGCTCTTAGGGTTTAGGGTTTAGGCTAGGCTTTAGGCTTTCGGGTTTACAATTTAGGGTTTAGGCTTTAGAGTTTAGGGTTCAGGGTTTAAGGTTTAGGGGCTTGGAAGGAAAGCATGAGAAGATCTGGAGGTCCCGGCCTTTGCCCTTGCCCTTGCCAGGCGGGCAATAAGTACCTCCAGCGCTGGGGATCTGGGGGAGGGTCGGCGCGAGGGCTTCGGGTTTTCCGGTTTGGGGTCTAGCTGTAGCCTTCTCCTGGGGTTTAGGGTTTAGGGCTTAGGGCTTAGGGTTGAGGGTTTAGGGGCTGCAGACAACAGAAAACAAACCAAGCATGTTCTTAGGGTCTTGGGGATATAGACCCTCTCAATAAGGTCGCATTTAAGACAGCCATCAGTGGGGTTAAGAAGGGTCCCCTTCAAGGGGTCTCCCTAATATATATATATATATACATACATACATACATACATACATACATACATACATACATACACACACACACACACTACCTGGGAGTTCTGCTTCGCTACACACACCCGACACGGTGCATCCTGCAGTCGCTTTCGGCTTTAAGCTCCATAGGGGCAAGCTTGTCAAGGTCAATATGCACCATGAGCCCTCAACTCAAAAAGCTCAAACACCTCCTCCTTTTTGAACCCTACGAAGCCCTTTTCCAATCCGCATGAAACCCTCAACCCCACTGAAAACCGTGCAAGATGCGCCTGCGCCTGAGCCCCTTCCTGATTCAACCTTTAGATCCTAAACCCTGGCATCCGCAAAGCTAAGCCCCGTGCTGCTGCGGGTTTGTCTTTTCTGGGGTCTGCCCGGGCCCACCTTGAGCTTCCAGTTTCGGGTGGTTTTTCAGGGTTTAGGGTATGGGGCATGGCGTTGAGGGTTTGGGTTTCGGGTTTCGGGCAGTTTCCAAACATGTCTTGCTGGCTTCATATCGGGGCCTCAATAGTTTGAGTAGGCTCTTGGGCATAAGATTGAAACTGTGAGGGTATTCACCTTAAGGTCATTCCTATCTCTACATTGCATACCATGGTTTTCGGTGAAGGGTTTTAAAAAGTGAGGAGTTGCTCATAGAAATCCTCTGCATGGGTTTCTGGGCTTCAATAGGCTTTGGGGCTACATAAGTTGGTGGTGTTCCGGGTTCAGGGTTTAGGGTTTTCCTCTTCCAAGCGCTATCTTCGAGGCTAGTGTATACAACAACTACAACTTTGGCACAATTGTTCGAAGGACTTCTGTGGGTCTCAGTAGAAGGTCTGACATCTGCTTTCAAGAGCTTCGGTGTTTGGGGGAAGGGAAGAAAGAGCGGGGAATGGCTACACCAGCAGTAGGTATACCAAGAGCAGTCGTGTAACAGTCATAGCAGCTCACGAATGGTTGTGCTAACGATGCTCATTCATGACACACAAAACCCAACTTTGGGGGCATTGCCAGGCGGTCAGGTCTGAAAAGAACAGCCAACAGTCACTACACCCATACGGGATCGGAACTCGTGAACCCAACACCCTAAACCCTAAACCCTAAACTTTAAACCCCCCCAAACCCCCACCTGCCCGACGGCACGGGGCGCTTCTCCCGGTGCGGCGTCGATCACGACCGCATCGCCCTTGTTGGGGCATGGGTTTGGGACTACAAGGCTTTTAGAGTTTGGAAGCTGAGACTCTGGGGTTTCGGGCTTGGGGCTGAGGTCTCTGGGGTTTTGGCTTCAGGGCCTTTAGGGTTTCGTGGCTGAGGTCATTTGAGCCATCTTTAAGGCAGTGGAACCTGCAGATTTCGAAGTCAGCTCTGACCCCCTTCACCGAGGCTCCGGGCGCTGCACAAGCGGCTTTCGGATTTCGGGGTTAAGCATGTACCAAAAATCCCCATCCCCCCTCAAACGCACCCAGAGGCTGCTCGCTTCAAGACGGGGGGCATCCTCCCCCTTGCTGGCATCCCATTCCTGTCGCACGGCCCCTAGCCCCTAAATCCATAAACCCTAGAGCCCTGAACCCTGAAGCGCAAAATCCTAAACCCTAAAGCCCTAAACCCTCAACCCTGAACCCTAGAGCCCTAAACAACCCTAAACTCTGAACCCGAGAGCCCTAACCCTAAGCCCGAAACCCTAAACTGGTGATAGTGGGTTAGGGTTCTTCCCCCATGAGCTGGCATTTGGAAGATTAGAGAGGTTCTGGAAACCGGAGAGCAAATTGGCCGCAGGGCCGTCATAAATCGAGGCAGGAGAGAGGGGGGGCGACCCCGACAAAGAAGAAGAGCAATAACACTCACCATAACACAAACAAGAACTTCAGCAGAGCAACAATGTAACAACTCAGTTGCCCCACCCGCCACGGAACGGCAGAAATAGCAGATAACAAAAATGAACAAACGTGGAGAACAATGAGGGGCGAGCAGCCGTTGGAACACCATCGTGCCTCACTCATGCCCCATCGACATGCTTTTTCTCGCAACAGGCCCCAGATTCTGAATCCTCAAAACCGACAACCCTGAATTTTGAAAAGCCGCTCACCCTGAAAGATTTCCCATCTGCAAGCAGCCGCGTCCTCCATCAGGCCACCGTCGGCCGTGAGGATATTGGCCTGTTCCGAGTCTTACCGTCTGAGTTTCGTGGGAAGGATTATGTACCCTAAACCCCAGACCCCGAACGGGCAACGCTGACCTTTAAATCAAGACGTAAATCACTGAACTAAGGTCGCCCCTACAGATCGCCCGCCTCCCCCGTCCTGAAAAGAAAACTAAGAGGCATGAAAACTACAAAGAGTAAGGATTTTCCAGAATGGGCTGCCATAAGTGCAAGTCAGGTGCCGGCAAGCCATCTGTGGGATTCATCATCTGCGCAGCCTCATGGGCCATGGCCGATTCAGGCTCTTTTCTGTGAGTTGTGGGGGAGTTGGGGCTGAGCATTGCAGGGCCGCGTAGGGTTTAGGGTTCAACTCCGGCGAATAATTTTTGCATGCTTGTAAAGGCTTGAGCGCAGAGTCTTAAACCTCATCTAAACCCTAAACCCTAAGCCCTAAACCCTAAAGCCTAAGCTAAACCCTAAACCCTAAGCGCTAAACCCTAAACCCTAAACCCTAAACCCTAAACCTAAACACACCTCGGTGAGCTCGATGGTATCCCCAGCGAACTCGAAGAGATCCGCACGCTCGCTGAGTACGGACTTCCTGGAGGTCGAACCGCAGGAAGCGCTTTAAGGGCAAAGTTCGGGTAGAGCAAACCACAGGCTTAAGTTGTAGGCTTCTGGGGCCTGCAAGGCTTTGGGGCCGAAAAACGGTAGAGAATACAGCAATCAAAAACAATGAATCAGTAGAACTGAGACAACAAACAAACAATGATAGTGATGTTGACAGAACAAAGACAAGAAACAATACGAACAGCAGTATTAATCACCATCTTACCATTCCAGACCAAGTTGTGTCGCTGGTCTACCGTGGTATGAGACCCTAATTTTAGAGAACTACCCATATGGCCCTAAACCCTAAACCCTAAACCCCTAAAACCATGTGCTGGGAGTCACGGCCTCTGCGACCTTTTGTTAAACAAGGGCCTGCAGCGGCCGACCAGGGCTGCTATGAATCTGCTGGAAAACCCTTCCAGGGTTTAGGGTTTAGGGTTTAGGGCTTGGGGTTTGGGGTTTAGGGTTTGGGGTTTAGGGTTTAGTGTTAGGGTTTGGGGTTTAGGGTTTAGGGTTTAGGGAGACAAAATACTCAGGCCCCAATGTGTCACGCCTCCAAAACCTCAAAGCGCCAAGACCCGAAGCCCTCATGAGACGGGACTCAGGCGTCACGCTTTAGCATTTAACAATATCCACCCAAGTATCCCGAAACACGGATAAACAAACAAGTAGAGCAATGAACTCAACCTGAACCTGAGCTCCTAAATCCTAAACTCCTTCAATCCCAGATGCAGCACCGCGGTTTTCGCCACGCCCTCGGTTGAACCCGTGGTTTGGAGCTCAGCCCAGGCGTCGCGAACGGTCTGCAGGCCAGATAAACGGGTTCAAGCTGTTCAGGGCTCTCCGAAAAATCTTACCGTATCATCCTACGATAATTCAACAAAGGTCTCTACCCTGAGGCCCTACTCTAATCACAAGGGTCCCTAAACTTGAGGATTAGGAGTTTAGTGGTGTAGGAGTTGTGGACCTAAAGGTTAGGGCTTAGGCTTTGGGATTTAGGCTTTAGGCTAGGCTTTAGGATTTAGGGCTTAGGGGTTTAAGGGCTTAGGTGGGGGCCGCGGAGCCAGGTCGAAAGGACGTGGGTTCTTGGACTTGGCCCCCGGTTTCTTCGCAGACCATGGGTTTAGGGTTTAGGGTTTAGGGTCTGGGGATTAGGGTGTAGGGTTTAGGGCTTCATGAGCCCACTCGGCTTTAGGTCGCAGGGTCCTGGGCATCAGGGTTTTGGGTATCGGCGCTGAGGGGAATATCACTAGTTGTACTCGTTTCCTCTGCGGCACAGCTAACGGTTCTGCTGGCATTGCTGTATGTAATACATATAATATATATATACAATAATAATTACAATTACATTAATAACAATAAAAAATACATACATACATAATAATAATATTATTATTATTACGAATATTACTAATACTAACAATAGTACTAATAATAACAATAACAATAATAATACTCGTCAAAATCATAATCATAATAATAATCATCATCATAACAATAATCATAATAATAATCATAATAATCATAATATGCATATGTATGTATATATGTGATATACCTGCTTCTATTCCTTCTGCTGGAGCATTGCCCAGCATGCGGGCATGCTGTTTGTGTGATGACACAGTTAGTTGCTGCATCAATCCAGTAATATATGGCCTCAGCATATCCATAAAACTACGTCCTCTTGTCTCACACAAGTTTGCAGGGTGTTGAACCGAATATTACCTAGACTTGATGTTGGTGGTGGAGACGACGACGGTAATGATGGTGAGGCAGAAAGAAGCATATAGTACTGGTCTGAGAATGGAATTTGAAATGCCAGAATTGTCCAAAATACCAGCCTGGTCAACTGTCTCCAAGGATGTCGCTTGCATCGACAGAATGCTGTGTTCTTCAAAATGACCCTGGTAAACGAACAATCTCCCCACAATGAAGTTAACCCCAATCATTATCGCACTACCGTAACAACAACAGAATAACAGTGATATAACCTATAATAGTAGCAACAACAGGAAGAAGAACAATAATCGGAACAACAACAACAACAACAACCACAACAGCAGCAACAGCAACAGCAACAGCAACAGCAACCGCAACCGCAACCGCAACCGCAACCCCAACCCCAACCACAACCACAACCACAACCACAACCACAACCACAACTACCACCACAAACACAACCACAAGCACAACAACCCCAACAACCGCAACAATCCCAACAATCGCAACAACAACAACAACCACAACCACCACACGACGACAACCAATGTTAAGGCTGATCATCAACAGCATCATCATCATCATCATCAGCAGCAGCAGCAGCGTCATCATCGTCACCATAATCATCACCATCACCACAACCATCGTCATCAAGAATAAGACTCAACCATGACGATGATGATAATAGTAATGAGTTTAAACTGACAACAATCGCAACAAAAAAAGCAACACACATATTTCTGGTACTAATACTTATAAGGCTAATAGTAGTATTAATAATCATCATCATAGCGATAACAATCATAACGATAAAGCTAAGTAAGAATGTGCAAACGATGATAAGAATCAGAACGAGACTATGAATAAGAATAATAATAAGACTAAACATGAACTTATTGCACGGCTTGGGCCTCGCGACATGCTTGGACTTCACTTTTCACTGTTGAAGCATCCACATGTGTCGAGCCAGAGGTACCTTGCATGGGTGCACGTCCTGCTTGCTGCAGCTGTACAGAAGCCGGCGTGTGAGTTAACCCTGTACACATGTATTCACGGCTTCAGCTCACGACAACAAAAAGCCAGCGAAGGTAGGCAGGATGGGATTCGTCAATCAGACTGACTGAGCTGACGGACCAACAAAAATAATCTGGGTAGAGGGGCACCCAATTTCGCATCTGCAGTCGAGAACGAAATCTGCAACCCGAAAGAAAGAAATCCTCAAAAGACCAAAAAACGGCACACCCTAAACGCTAAAGCGGCTTCAAGGAGTTTCAGGGTTCGCCTGTGCTTGCTGTGGTAGAGATCTCCTCCGTGTCCTCCTCAGAGATCTTTTCAGCAAACCGTGCATCTGTCATGGACATCATTGCGGATGGGCTGCCGGTCGCAGGCCGGAAGTCCTCTCTGCAGCTGACCGGCACTGGCTGCTCGGAGCCTGCCGAAGATGCCGGGGAGGGGGCCTGCTTGGCGCGCTGTCTCTGCAACAAGTAGAAGACGAAGGGGAAGGGGATAGTCATCGCCAGGTTCTCGACGAGCAAACTCGTGAAGTCGCCAGAGTGGATAGCTGCGTCCACACGGATCCCGTTGAGCAAATTTGCCAGGCCGGCCACCAAGAAGCCGAGACCCTGGATACGGCCCATTGTCTTTACGCCGAAGATCTGTCCATTGAAAGAGCTGATTGTGCTGTAGAGGAAGGCTCTCCAAACCGTGAACATCACCACCGTCACCAGCTGGACATAAAGGCTGGGGACCAGCTGCAGGATGTTGTAGACGACACCAATCAGGGTTGTCACCTGAACAGTCCACATGGTGCCAAGCCTGCGCATGCATAGCTGGATGAGTGGAACGGCAACGAGGCCGAATGGAAGGACGAAGCTCGTGATGCTGTTCACAATGTTGAGGCTGCTCAGGGTCCCCTCGGTCTCAGATCTTTCGGTTGATCACGGAAAAAGTGCCGAGGTACATCAAAGACCGGGGGATCATGATAATCGAGTAGCTGAACATTGCTGCAAATTCGAAGCTCATGAGCTGGGCAAGCAAGCCTCTCTGATTCAAAGGGCGATCTTGCTCGGGGCCTTGGGGGTCTTCGCCACCTGCAGCCGCACGAAGATCCGCCAACTCTTTCTCGTTCATCCTCCATGCGATGCACAAGAGAGAATAGCAGATGCAGCCTAGCATCGCATATCCCCAAAACAAATCCGCGAAAGGCACGCCCAAGTCGTAGAAGACCTTCAGGAGCGGATAGATCATGGTGCCAGCGTCGAACATGGAGCTGTTCATGGCCATCAGGAGCGTGAAACACGAAGGCACCATGAAAGGAGCCAACCAGCCGATTTTGATTGTCATGGCTCCTCCGAAGCCGGCAAGCGCCATCGTCACGAGGAAGATGGCAGCCTCTGCATGATTCGACCAAGCAGTGACCTTCGTCAAACCGATGCCCAAAAGCCCCAGGCAGCATAAACAGCCCGCAATGCCCGTGACTGTCTTCGGCCCCACATTATCCACCAGCCAACCGTTCAAGTACGACGTGAGAGTGAGAAAGGTACTTGCCGCAGTGAATGCGCCGTTAAGTGCCTGCAGCTGCTTCCTGCATGGTTGTGCCGGATCCGGCAACTCGCAGAAATAGCTGTAATAGCCCTCCGACTGCAGCATGGAGGAGAGAGCACCCCAACCTACGATAGTGCCACCAAAAAGGAAGACCGTCGTCAGGCTTATGATCACCAAGAAGTTGTGTGCTCTAGCCCTGGATGGAACAGTCCGAGACGGTGTCTTCGCCATCGTCCCCGAGGTCATGGCCGCAATCTACACTATGTTTACGGTGGGCTCTACCGGCGAGAAACTCAAGTTGCAGAAATAGATGAAGTAGCCGTTTTCGGCAAGGGGAATCATGTGCACGATTCTCACACTGCTAACTCTCACCCAAACACTTGTCTGTCCCACCCAGGTTCGTCCACAGAATCTATTTTGGGGCATTTTGGGGCCGTTCCTTGACGGTACACGGTACAGCTCCCAGGCGTTCCTGCCTTCGGGGTGGTCACGGAGGACAGGGCGACCCGGTTCTGTGGCACGCTCTGAAGGTGCTTCCAAACCTTTCAGCTTCGCCGGATTTCGCCAAGAGGGCTTCGTAGCTCTTCGGGAATCCCAGGGTCCATGGACCCCCTAAACCCTATAAACCGTCTTTTATGAACCACAACGACAACATCTTCAAGGCTAAACCCGGAAACCCCGGCCTGGCTCCGGAGGAGTTTGGGTGTCTCGGTTTCAGCAGCGTAGCATGCTCGTGAGACGAGTTGACGACTGGAGCCTGAGCCTTGCAAGCCCTGAACTCTAAACCCCACATGTAGCATAGCCGTTACAATCGCAGTCATCACAGCCACCGTGAAGATCTACTCAGCATCCTCATCGCCATCATGGAAGCAGGCGGCGTCCTAGCGATAAGAAGATAAATTGTCCAATTCTCGTATGGGATACAGCATACACTCACAATTCTCGTGCAATTAGGGATGCTTAGGGGCCCTGACCCCGGGCCCACGGGGCCCACGGGCCTCTGAATGCTTGCCCTTCGACGTCGCATAATGAACGAATCTCGAAAGACTAAGGCCCAACCCCATGCCCTACAACCTAAACCCAGGAATGAGAGCGCTTTATGACCTTATGATGAGTAGCATCACAGTGGTCGTACTAGAGCACACGAACACACCTCACATCCCGTAGAGACCCTAGTGATCCTTAAAGCCTCCGCCCTAAACCCTAAACCCATGGGTCCTTCGAAAAAGATGAAGATGTTAAGTGTCCCTCCCTTTACTCAAGGCGTATGCCAGCTTAAGTTGTAACAGGGACCCTTCATTCTATGAACCCTTAGAAGGAGCGATATATACATGTGTGTATATATATATATATATCGATCGACACAAAACCACAGAAACACCCCATAAACTACAAACCCTACAGACCCTAAAATTCCTAAGCCCCATAGATAAACACCCTGTAAATAAAGAAGAAGAGCCCCGGACAACGGGATCCCAACCACGCACCTCCAAGAAGAGCGCATCCTTTAGTCGGCCCATCTCACCCTCAAAGGCTGCCG